GCTCTTCTCGGAGCAGCCCTCTTTGGCGGGGGTGGGAGGTGCGGAGGGCCGCCCCTCCCTCCCCCGCCAAAGAGGGCTGCCCGAGAAGAGCATGGGGGCAAGTGGTCCGGGAAGGCTCCTCGACGCGTCCACCTGGGCGAGGGCGGCCGAGATGCGCCTCCAGCGCGAAGGCCTCGGCGCGCTTGTCCGCACCGCGTGCTGCGCCGAGTAGCCCGGCAGGAAGAGGAGAGCAGACTGCAGGTTGGGCGGCAGCCAGTCGGTGAAGTTTGCGCCCCACTGCTGCCGCGCCTCCCCGCCCCGCTGGCGGCCGAGGACGGCCCAGTCGTAGTAGGAGCGGTACCTGCGGCCAGCGGAGGGTGTGGCGAGGCTGCACCACACCCTCTCGCCACCGCCACCGACGACGCCCGCACGGCCCAACCCTCTCCCACCCCTCTCCCACCCCTCTCCCACCCACCGACGGCTGTCGCGCACCAGGAGAGCGGCTCTCGGACGCGAAGCACGACGGTCACGCTGCACGTGCGGCCGTACGGCGAGGCGCGCAGCGCGCCAAGCTGCGCAAAAAAGTGGCTGGCGACGACGTGCGCCTCGACGCACCAGCAGCCAGCCGCCGCCGCCATCGCGGACGGCGAGCCGCCGCTCGACGCTGAGGCGGCCGAGATGTTGGAGGAGAGGGCCTGCGTGAGCTCTTCGAGCTTGATGTGCGTAAAGCCGACGCGCGACGGCCACGTGCGCGACACGTCGTACCTGTCAGTCACCGTGGCGTAAGCTGCTGGGCGGCAATGGAACGGCTCGGGACAGACTCCGCACCCGACGTAGCTGCAGACGGCGCGATTGCGCCGCATAAAGGAGCGCATCGTCGAGCCGCCATTCTTCGGGACGTGCCGGTCAATCAACATGCCGCATCGGCGATCAGCGTGGGCGGCCATATACACAAAACGTGTCGGATGATGTGTAGCGTCGTCGGCGCGAGAAAACGGCTGTTTCTTTTAACTGCTTAAAATAAAGAAAGAAAAAAGGAGAAGGACCCAACCTGCACGAGCCTGGCTCTCTCGGAAACAATTAAAACTACAATCGCGCTTAGGACGGCTCACCGTCTCCCGCGCCCGCTCGTTCGCTCCCGGGCCTGAGCGGTGCTGTCGTTTTCCCGCGAGAGCGAAATGGTCGTCGTGGCGCTGGGCGGCTGCACGGCGGCCGGGAAGTCCACGTTGGTGCTCGAGCTGCAGCGAGCGGCGGCGGTGCGAGTAGTCAGCTGCGACGATTTCTTCCTGCCGCGCGAGCGCTGCCCTCGCTTCGACCTGCAGGCGCTGCCGTGGCCGGGCGAGGAGGTTCCAGGCGCCTTTTTGCTGCGCGGCGACGCAGACTGGAACGTGCCGGCCGCGATCGACTGGAGCGGCGTCGCGGACGCGGTCGTTTCGGCGAAGCAGGCGGCGCAGTCTGTGGTCGTGGACGGCATGTTTATTCTCGCCGACCACCCGGGCGCGAGGACAGTGCTGCAGATGTGCGATCATGCGGCGGTGCTGTGGGCGGATGAGCACGCGGCCACCGAGCTGTGCAGCAGAAAGTACACGCGGAAGCACCTCGGCAGGAGCTCGTACGAGGAGCGCGGCGTCAGCGCGGAGGAGTACCGCGTCTACTGGGAGAACTACGTGTGGCCCGCGTGGCTGCAGCACGGTGCCTCCTCACTTCCCGCGGACTGCCTGCGCATCGGCTGCACGGAGGAGCCGGCGGCGCAGCTCGACCAGCTCCTCGGGACGGGCTGGTTTTCTCATCTCACAGGTGACGCGAGATGAAAAGTGGTCACGAGGCGCCTAGATGAGGGCGCTCTCTGACATCTGGCAAGGCTCTACGACTACGTACACATTGCACGTGTGAAATCACCATGACTGTGTGTGTGTGGTGCGAGAGAGGAAAGGTGTGGATGCGTCTGATGACTCGGAATCAGTGATGGCCATTTACTGGTAAAAGAGTGGTATTTATACCACTTTTTTGATTCTCCTGGGGAGTGGTATGGTATGAGAAGAGAGTATGGTAAATTACGAAACTCCGTGGAATCATCAATTTTTCGGGATCTGAGCCGAGTCTAGCATTTTCGTGGATAAAGCAGACACCAGACCTCGGTTTCCCATAGGGTTTCTGATGCGGTTTCCCATGGCGGTTTCCCGGTCGGTTTCTGCGGCGCGCTCTGTTTTTTCTGGGATCTGTTTTCTGGGACACCCGCCTCGATTTCCCGTGGGATCTGCCTGTGGGTCTGGTTTCTGCGGTGTGAATACATCTCCCGCTTCGTCCTAATGAGCTCATTCCGGCCAATGAACAGGTGACCACCATCCGAATTTTTTTCAAGTGGGAACAGCAAAAAGCGGCATGCATTCAGCGACCAGAAACCATAATGCCGGAACCACTGCTATATCGAAAAACCAGAAACCAGAAACCAGACCGCCGCGTTCCCCCCAACGGGTTCCTCCCACCCAGAACATGCTGCTGTCTTAGTACTCCCGTTCGACCCATTCGGAATCCGATGAGTTAATGAGGGGTCATTCCGCCGGAATGACCCCTCCGGGGAGATCGTTCACACCTCGAAAAACCAGAACCCAGAGCGTCTGGACCGATATTCCCATGGCCCGGATGTTTTCTGTGGGATGTGGCGAAAAAGCAGAAAAAAATAAAATATTCTTAGCTTCAAGCCCCCCTCCGAGACTAGGGACAGAACCCACCCGTACACAGGAGAGATGGGACTGCGCCTCGCCCCCACTTGCCCTGACTGCACAGGATAGCGTGCCCCGAAGGCGGCGACACATAGTGGGGGACACTGCGCAAGGAGGGGGTGCGAAAGCTCATTGGGGTGCTAGGTGGGACCATGAGGGGGGGTGGGCGGGGTCCTGTGGGGGTGAAATGTTGCGCGGCGAATTCGAACCTACCCCCGCGCCGCGCCGATCCTCACGCGGAGGGTAAAACCCTGTGG